TTTTTTTTTCAGGCGTGCAGAAAATATCGTTCCGCATCTGCGGAAAACAGATCTTTGAATGCAGATGGAATTGGTTGAAATTTATATCAGAAAAGAATCCATCATTAAAACAAGTTCCAAGTTCTGGGAGACAATTTGTGTATGAAAAAGTGGGTCATATGCTTTTGTGGTATTTTCTTTTTTTAACATATTGGGAGTTCCCAGAATAATCTTTTCTTTTCTTACAATAATACATTGGATTTTCACTGTTTTTGTTTCGCTGATAGTACTTCATATGGTGACTGATGCAGAATATAGTGAAGAAAAGAATCGTCTTTCTTGGTGACCTAGCATGTCAACAAGCTTCTTGGCAACGGCTTGTGATACCTAGTGCATGCATGCTTTGTTTTCTTCAGCCATTTTCCAGTCAAAAAAAAAATTCGACCAAAGCCACTCACGTTACTTTCTCAACTTTAAATAAGCAAGAATTCAATTAGAAGCTGTGTCTATGCGTCATATGCAAAAAATCAGTTTCGAATTTTATTAAATTTTGCATGACCATCACCATATCATGTTCAAAAGACGTTATGTTCTCTGAAATTTTAGTCACAGCAGATTCCATCAAATCACGATAGTTTCTCCAATTTTTCTCGCAGTACAGGAAATCCTCAACAATCGTGGTCGCATTTTAACCGCTATAGGTTATTTAGCTAATGAGCGCGTGACAGTAGAAATAAAAAAAAATAAGCGATTGCAAAAAAAATCAGCATAGAAAGGGCCAAGAAAGCAAGAAATCCAATACATTACTGTATAAGAAGAGGGCAAAATCTTTCAAACTTGAAAATTGTATATAGTTCATTTTGATATTTTTAAAATGTTTTTCGATCTATTCAGAAACTTTTTTCATCTAAACTGTGCATTCAATCGTGTCGATTAAACCCCTAAAAATGTTTTGATAGCCATATGATAATATTAGGCAACAAATTGAAAAATGATCATTCGAATTATAAAGAAGATTGTATTGACTTTGAAACTTACAGAACTACTGTGATTGATGAGTTAAATATTTGACAAAAATTTGACAGCGTGAAAATAATTTAAATACTCCAGTGTTCGTTCGAATACAACTTGGAAGAAAAATAATTCCTAGATTCCACTCTCACGACAGATACAATAAAATACTTGGAAATTATTTGAAACAAAACAGGTGATAACCTGGTCGGAGTATTTCTCTTTTTGGACCAACCGAGATTCCAGAGATGTGATATAAATTCACATGTTTATCCCAGTATAATGAGCGATCAAACTTGATTACATTTTAAAGAACAAGCTCTGAGCATTTAAATGGGTTCTTTTTTTCACCACGTTAAAGACAAAATACAGCCAACACACTTTCATTCTTTTTCGAAGTTTGAGACTTTCAATTGAATTATATATACGCTCCAAATTTAAAAGAATCCCCATGGCGCGACTGTCATCTGAATGCAAAGTATGCTTGTTAAGTGGAACCATTTTTGCCTGCCAAAAAAAAATTGCGGCGTTCCGTTTGCTTGCGCACAAAAACAGCTGATGCATTCAGTCGTTGTTATCTCTACTTTTTATTCTCTTTTTTTTTTGTTCACTGCGGGAAAGTCTCTGAAAGATGCGTTGTGTAACTGGACGCGATAGGAAGATGAAAACTCTGCGCCGAGCTGCTTTGAATTTCGGCCCGTCTTACGCCTGAAATATGACGAAGACGCATGCATGCAGTGGCAAGACTTACTCGGGTTCTCCAGTTTCCTTTTTTTTCCATGCCTTATTTTTTTTTTAGATTTTTTTTCCGGGATATAACAATTTTATTTTAGAAATCAAACAAGAAAAAGCATCGAGTTACGGTAAAAGCGACTCGAGTCTGTCTAGACATTAAACAATACCCCCTTGGCGTCCGATGGCGCACTTTTTCTTTTTTTTCATTCCTCGAAGTACTGTACTGTACTATATATATATGTATAGGAAGAAACAGAGCAGAGGATCTCCCGCATTTTCCGTCGAAGGGGATCCCTTTCCGCCTCCTTTCGTCTGGGATTTTATCGCACTGGGTCTCCTGCTTGTTTTGAATTTAAAGCCCTTGTACAGCATTTGCATTCAGTAACAGGTTGATCCAACTTCATTCAACAGCGGCAATTTCTTCACCCCCATACTGCATCGATTCATTTATGTCTTGTTACATTGGGAAAAGGACTGCGGGAAACTTTATTCATTCGGGCATAGTACTATACAGTTATTCACGTTGAACAGATACGTTTGACAGATAAATTCTATGTTTTCTGGATTTTATTATTACGGTAGTTCAATATAGCGGGGTCATACAGCGAGTCACGGAGCCACAAATATCACGTCGTTGAGCAGGATTATTCGACTGCTGTTTTGTATATTTGCCCGTGATTGTCAAATTTCCTTTTTTTTTTGGATGTGATTTCTATAGAATTGCTTTTAGGTCAAGAATTCCAAGACATTCCAAAAATGTATACGGGCTTAGCTCTTCATCGATATACAGTATTTTTCTCATGATGATTGTACTCGGCAAATAATTCTTTAATTTATTGATCGTGTCAAGCAATTTCTGTTTCGAGGTGCAATATTTTTTGTTAAATTTTGATGAAGATTACAAATTTTCGTAGGAACGTTAACAATAATTGTTCTTATATAGAAATATCAGGAACGTGAGTATATGAAAAAGCGAATTTAACAAATAGAAATGCATTGGAATGTGAAGTTGACATAATCTCAAGATTTACAAATACTTTTCGTTATTATCATTATCCTACAAATTTCAAAAAGTATATTCATCACTGGTGGTCCTATTAAGCTGAATGTCGGTCCTAAAAAAGACAAAAAAAATAATGAAAATGTACTTGTTTACATTCTATTTCGTTCAATTTAAGTCCTAATATGCGGCTTGTCCGACTAAGTGACTTGGAAGTTATTTCAAAAAATGAGTGCATGAGAATTGGAATGATTTCAATTAGGTTGATGATTGGTTAAAATTCGGTGAGCATGCTGGTAAGCGAAGAATCTTCTTGGAATATCGGTTTCTAACAGAGTGAAATGTTTTGAATACAATACTTCACTTTGTTCGAAATATTCTAATGTATAGAATGTACATCAGTGTTAGAAATATTATATTCTTTTAGAAATATTCTCTCCATCACTGCTTTTCCAAAGTGCACCTACATTTATAAACGAAAATTTTGGCCGAAGAAAATCGTCGACAGTTTGAAGCATGAAAAATGCTTTTTATTGTTTCCATTTGGAATATAGCTTTCTTGGGTGAGGCACAGAGACATCAGCATCCTGAGCAGTGGCCACGACTCGTATACCGCAGACAAACGATTCCAGGTTGACTACAACGAGTCCGCACATTTGTATTCCTTGTGTCTGCATAACACGACGCCCGCCGACTCGGGTTCCTACGAGTGTCAAATCTCCACGCAACCCATCAAGTCCCTGTCACTCCACATGAAGATCGTTGGTGAGTCGTGTTCGATGAGTCTCGAATACATATACAGTATTTAAATTTAAAAACATTTAATGAAATATGGAAGGGGTTACACATTTCCGCGCGGACCAGCTCGTTGCTGCTGTTCTGCGGGGAAGCTTTAAAATCTAAGCGTTTCAAAGCCTGTTTCAACACATGGGTCAAAAGGGCAGAAAAAGTGTGTACTAATCGGTGTTGATGGCATTGAGAATGTGTCTTCTTAGCCTCTTGGAACTATGAATGAACAGGAGAACAATTTTTTTTATCCTTGATATTCAGGTCATTTTCAAGTCCGCGCAAAAACTAGTCCTCGCGGAAACGTGTAACACGTATCTCGTATATTTAGGTGTAGACTGGTTTTAGAACAAAATTTAAAGGGACCAGAAAACATTCTTGCAGAGAAAAAAATCGCCCCAAGTGGGGACATTGGTGCACACTGGGGATGTGTTTGTAATTTTGCACATTGACCCTGCTGTGCACCTGAAGTGTACCAAAGTTCTTCTTTTGCACATTCCTATCCCTAATGTGCACCAATTGTGTGTTTACACCAGGATTACTCAGGGTCACATTTGTAAACATATAAGTTACACCAAGGTTACCCTTGTCTGCCTTTGTGTGATACTCCTGTTATGTCACATTTGTGCACCAAATGTAGCCCAGGAATGGTGGCAAAATTTTGTCTACAGAGGTGCATGCTTGTAACCCCAGAATAGCCCATGTACACCAATTGTGACCCCAATGTTCACCATTTGTGGGGTCACACAAAGAATAGCTCCCCACTTGGGGCATATAAAGATAAAAAATGTTTGATAAACAGAGAATATCATTGTATGGACAAGATTGTTGCAGAGAGAGTCTACCTGTACTAAACAAAATTAGAGAAAACTATTTAGAAAACCAGAGAAATTTTCAGGATAAGGTCATTTTCAAGTGCAGCACTTTTATCTTAAAAAGTTCAAGTGCGTTCAAATTTTGATTTTAATCGGATACTGGTGGCATTGACTCATTCTGATACTAATTTGACGCTAATATTGTTCAAAATATAGAAAGCATTCTTCTTTACATGATTTGATTAAGCGACGAGTGTTCTTCATGACACCCGAATCATTTGCTGTTGGTGTCGTCTGGTTGCATTGAGTCTAATTACGAAGAGTTCTAGTCAATGAAGGATAACTTTTCCAGCTTTTTTCAGTAAATCAAAACAAAAAATTGTATAAGAGAACGACAAATTGTACGAATCTGAATAGATTGATAATTTCCATGATATAACGACGCTAAATCCTGATCAACGTTTCCTTAACTACAGCTAAGATCTTCCAGGATTTTTTTTTTCAGTCTTCCGCAGAAAAGCAATTGGTCTAGTTCAAATTATTGTTCTCGGGCCACCCAACGTATCAAGAATATTGTCCTTCATGAAGAAAACTCGTGCAGTATTTTCTCAAATTTCACGATGACGCAGTTTCTTCTTCCTTTTTTTCCTTTTCCATTAGATTGTTTCATTTACCTGAATCCTCTGCTTCAATTTCCACGTTTCAGATACGAGGGCAGAAATCTTGGGAGCCGCTGTGAGGTACGTGAACCCGGGCTCAATGGTGAACCTGACCTGCGTCATCAACTTTGCTCAAGAAGAAGACCTTCAATGGCTTCATGGAGACAAAGTGAGAGCCCTTCTGTGCACCTCATTATCGGAGGGACCTTTCTCTTGAGAATTGCACTCACTCCATCCCTCAAGATGAGATAAAGATTAGGTGTAGAAAGATTTATCCCCTGCTGGTCGGCTGTTCTTTGCCCTACTGATCATACTTGAGATGCGACTTTATTTTCTGGAACAGCTTGAAAGGTGATCACCGAAGAAAATTACAGGAAAATTTATTTTCCGAAATGATCTATCAAACTCTTGCCATGATACGAGTTTTTTTCTGCTTTTTGGGTTCTTCAGGTCTTTTAAAAGTGCAAGCAAAAGTTAGGATGGATTTTGAAAGCATAGCCAAGATTATACACGACGTTCCCTGCAAAAAGTGATCTCATGCATTTGCGAACATCTGATAAGCGTGAATGAATTCAACTTACAGAAAGTGAATTTTTCGATAATCATCAATTTGAAGGCTTCAGCATTTTTAAGAAAGTGGCCTCCAAATATACCTATTCCAGCAGTATTAAAATTAAATTAATTCTAAGCAGCAATTTCTTGACATCTCATCTGGACCATGATCAGAGTAATCTGAAAACCGATGCTGGAAATTTATTCTTAAAATTAATTCGAAATCGATCTTCAAGGAGATTGTGTTAGCTGTAATTTATAAGTGTTTCGGTTCATTGCAAAGAATTCACAGAAGTTGCATGACTCTAACGTACTGCATTGTATTTTCTGAAAACGTTGTCAGTATTTAAAAAAAATTATTCTACAAGCCGAAAATTATCACCAGTCCATTTTTAATTCTTTACACAATACTGTATTCTCCAACCGTTGGTCGCATTGAAATAAAATACTGTAGAATGCTTTACATTATTGCTGTTCAATTTGAAAGATGAAAAATGCGAGAAAATTTTCAGAAGTCTCATTTTTGCATTTGCAACTTTGAAAATTTCTGAATGACCCCTGAAGAAATCAGTCCACAGCATATACCCAGAAAATAATTTGATGTAACAAAACTCATGGCAAATGCATTTCATGGCCAAACTGCAATGTGTTCTGTGTTACGCCCACTTGGAACTTTTGTTAATGCATTGCAGGTAGGCGTTTTGTAATGTCTGCTTGTTACAATTGATTAAGAAACTGGTGTACCTTAAGAATAATACAGAATAAATAGTTACATATATATATATATATATATCCCTATTTATTCCATTGCATAATCCTAAAATTTGTGCATAAAGTATATCAACATGGTCAACCCTCAGGGATTCCTGGAATTCCTTCAAAAGTTCCTGTCAATACAACAAGAAAAATGATCCTTTATTCCAATCTCAATCGAAAAATCTATTTTCCGCACCAGTGCACAGTTGCGGCGGTAACCTCGAGGTCCTGGGGTCCGATTAATCAAGATCGTCAGGAAAGACCTATATACAAAGCTCATTCAATCAGGGAATTTTCAACCCCAACAAAATGCAGAAACGTAATCCTAACCCTTTTGATTCGGGTTCCCGAGGAACTTCGACTCTCGGCCCCGAGAAAACCCCCGTTTGTTTCGGGCATGATGAAGGCACGTTTTGCTCTAATTCATTCCCCCCTTTGGCCTATTGAAAGGATCGACACCATACGGGGTTCGGGCCGAATTTTCCCCGCGTGATTTCGCATGCTGATGAGCACTCGTGCAAGGCTTGGTTTATGCAGGAAAATGCGGGTCACGTGGTTTACCAGACGAGAAGAAAGGATTAAACGCTTCTTCCGTCTTCAAGTCTTCATTGTAAAGCTGTTGGGAACGAAAAGACCAGGGAACAAGGGCCTTATTAACCATCCCCGAACCCGCCGTTATATATATATATATATATATATATATATATAGTGCTATGTTTTCCGTTATTTCTGCGCTTCAAAATAATCCAACAGATAATAAGGTTTATTTCGGCGGGGACAGAACTCAATTAGAGAGTCTGATTTAATTTATTCTGAATGCGGGTTTTTGGGGGGTGAGAGAAGAAGAGTTTCCGAGAAAATTTGGAGGAGGCGCCTGCGGTGCATTATTCGACGAAATATATCATTCGACGAAAAGATAGAATCGTAACGCTTTTTCAACTGATATACCTTAGTTGCATAATATCACAGTCGTGACGAAATATTCAATTTCTCAGTAAATTCGTCAAAAAAATGCGTAATCAGCAGAATATTCTGGTGGGGTGTTTAATTTTGCTTGCGTTGACGGGATCGAGACGAATAGCAGAGGTTTTTGGTTGCTCGATAAATGAATGACACTATTTTACTATTCATTGAGTAACTAAAATTACAATTAACTTTCATTCAAATATGCTGCATGAAGTTGTGATTCCTAACAATCAAATTAGAAGCTTATTTATCCCTACATCACCCACAATTCAAGTTAATTTATGCAAGAGGGAATTCCTGAGAATAAATCCAAGCATGCTTATACCCAGTTAATTTAGCAAACATTTATGCGTTCCTTGTGTTTCAATTAAGGGAAGATTTCAGCTTCAGCTCGAAAAATTCCACTTCGAAACCGAAGTCTCGAGTTAACTGAGATTCAAATCATTTATATGCCGAATTACAGCATATAATACGAATTATCAACATCGTATTCGAGAATAAATGCTTCGAAAAGTCTTCATCAGATAATTACAATGGTAAAGGTCCGTGAAAAAAAAAATTGGAAATTTTATAGATTTTCGTTGAAACACGCGGTGATCAACATTTCATTATCATGAACTTTTCCAAGTTTTTTTACGAAGAGTAAATTAAAAATGAATTGCAAGCGAGGGAATGAGAAACTCTCAGGAGTCAGGACCAACTTATGCTGAATAATAACTTATTGTTAACTTTGCTATGTAATGAAATACTGTTTTTTCTCGGTTATTCAGGGACTTGGCAATTCAGCTGAGTCTTTTGGAATTACCGCAATTTTCATGTTTATTATATATCTCTGGATAAAAAATGTAGCCTTCTTTTTTTTTAGGAATGAAATTTTAGAAATAAATCAGGCTATTTAGGCGGAAGGAACCAGCAGCTGAAATTGGGGAGAATGCAGAGCAGAATGGGAAAATGGTGGCATTCTCGGGAAAGGCAACAGACCAGGAAACCCAGCTCTAATTAATCCATGTCTGGATTTTCCTGCGACGGTATTCCTGCTGGTGCGCCAGACTTTCCTCGGGATCCTTGAATGCAAGTCAAAATAAAGGCATACTAAACTGCGTAGGACGGCTTGGAAATCCAACGGAAATCCACGATTTAATGCTAGTTTGCGACTGAATTTAAAATGCCATGTTATGTGCAGTAATAGTTGCATTTGAAAATATCCACGAATTAAATTACTCCATGCGTCAGTGAATTCTTCGTAATTTTTTTTCAAGTCGTCGGATGAAGTTTCGCTCACTTGAAATTTTTGAAAGAGGAGGATCTCTTTGATCAGCAAAAATTTCAATCAACTGCACTTTGGCAGCTCGAACCTAATCTAATTTTATTTTATGGTGGGATGAAGTTTCGCCCACTCGACATTTTCGCATGAGGAGGATTTCTGTGATCAGCGAAAATATCAATCAACTGCACTTTTGCAGCTCGAACCTACGCTTTTTATTTAATTCACGAACACTTGAAACAATTAAAAGAGCGTGATGGGAACTCAATTCTTCCTCAAGCAGCAGCTTCAAGCAGGTCAAAGCTGGAATTATTTTACACAGAATAAATAATTATTTCTTCCAGACGAAAATTAAGATACTCGACGAAGTTATTCTAAATATTTTTAAAAAATCCACCTCCTACTCAATGGGCGAGATTTTTTTATGCATAAAATAATGACTTAAGTACTTGAAAAAAAATGTGCTGCCTTACCCACGTTTCTAGTACAGTTAAACCTCTACAAGTATAATTTCTAGGGACCAGGAAAAAATTGACTTAGGGAGGTTTTGACTTTGGGATGTATTGTTTTTTTGGAGCTTTCCAGTTGAGGAAACAACACTTTTGTTGTGAGGAGAGGGGGAAAAAGTTTGGGAAATCATATATTAGGAAATTCTGGGCCTAAACTTGTAATCTTGATGAGTTTAAACCTTGCTGAACTTGGAGGCAGGGATTTATTTGCTATATTTGTCTTTCACTTCCTTTCAAGATGCATCAAATCATTTGTTTTAATCATTTTCTTTTTCATATTTCAAGGAAATAATAACCAGAAGGCTTCAGAAAATTTGACTTGAACAGGTTTTAGAGAAAAAGGCTTCAACTTAGAGGGGTTTTTAATGTAGTGATTCTAAGGGAATGCGAACAGGGACTTGAAAAAAATTTGACCTAGGGAGGGTTGACTTATCGAGGTTCACCTGTATTCGAAATATTTTTAAATTCAATTCCTGGATTTATGAGAGTTTTTCTGCGTCAAAGAATGACTTGAGCATGCCTGATGATGAGACAGAAAATGGACAGTACTGTGCTATAGGATGGAAATTTATAGATTCGCCTGTTGCGAGGCTTGTTTCGAATCCACACCTGTGCACAGATTCACTTATCGGATTATTCACTTGTCCATGATATATATAGGACAATGATTAAGTGCTGAAGAAAGCAATCCTGTCCTCAAACGCTACGATCACTTTGGGTCGTTCTAAAATGAGCAAATGCCTCATTCCGGGGCATTTAAATGGAGTACTGCGGGATGAGTCTTCATCTTCTGCCAGTTCTGCGCCAGTGGGTTCATTTCAGAATGAGCTCTGTGCTGCTTGAGTCAATTTTAAAGTGTCTCCCGGGACCGTCCTAACGGGACAGGAAGTGGTAGGTTATCCCCTCGGGGATTCAATTTAATTCCGAAGCGGTGTTTCTAAATATTCTCCGCTCTCTAAATCAGTCATTCTTCGCTTCTTCGTCGTAATCCCTCCTCAACATCTGTCTGGCTCTCGCATATAGGAGGTGTCTAAGGAATGTTCTTCGGAATATAAATGGAAGCAGCTTAGGATTGAGCTTTTAAAAAGATTTATTATTTATTTCATGGCACGATAGAAAATGCAGCCATGATTGGCGTATTTTTTCACTAATTTTGGCAGAAGTTGTCTGGGACCCATATAGAGGTTGCCGGATACATCCAAGAAATCCACCATACTCACTATACACCTAAAAACGCCACAAACACAAAAACCATTAATATCGCACATCACTGCTTCCTGAAACTATACAAGCCACCTACCATGAGAAAAACCAGTACTAAAAAAACGGACTCTTCTTCCTGTTCCTCAAGACAAAATCCGCTGACGAAACTTCACTTCATTTCGAGCTCCGGTTGCAGAAACTTCTCTGTGAAATTCAAATCCTGAAAAGTGAAATCATTTTGTCAATCAATGGTGTTCAATATGACAAAGTTCAAGGAGACTCTGTCTTGGTCGCAAACGGCCTTGTGCTGTGCATTTATATTTATTTTAGATTTTCTTTGTCTTAGATCCTTTTGGGTCTCTGACAAGTCATCCTCTGGCAGCTCAGGTCAATACTGGAATTATTTTGCGCAGAAAGAAATACTGTGATGATAATTTCTTCCAGACAAATATTAAGTTTATCCATGAATTTATTATATTTTTCGATCATCTTGGTAAACCACGGAAAATGAGAGCTGGTTGTTCTAAATATTTATGAAAAACTTCACTCACAGGATTAGGCGCTCGCTCTCGCAGATTTTTCGGTGCAACCCATTTTCTCCATCATTCTTTAAAAAGACATAGAATTAATTCAAGGGTCGCCGCCATTAATTGATCATTAAATTTCGTAATCTTCATCAACCGTCGCCACTCGGGATGAGAATGTGTCGGCTGTTAATAATGAAAATGGCGAAATTACCTTCTAAGACCTGGAGGCAACCCTCGGCATTAATGCTCTTTCAATTTAGAGAATAATTCGGAAAAAGAAGCTGGGCTATGCCAAAAAAAATTGCGAGTGGGGCGCTAAACTACTTTTGAGTGCTGATGAGCAAAAGTCTTCACATCAGGGGGACTTTCGCAAATAATATTTTTGAAAATGTGTCAGACTGCTGGGCAGATTTTTTTTAAATTTCCTGAACAATAATTTGCTTCGAGCTCAATCATGTGTCGTTTCAATTTGCATTCCCAGAAATTTTGTTACACTCCTCGTCAAACATATATGCGTGTATGTGTGGAGCAAGTCTTGATAAAACCCCGCTATCGAAGGTTTTTTCGTATCATCAAATAGACCAAATACTCGATTGATCGAGTCTCCATTTTCGATTGTGCCATCGGATCGATGCAATATTCTGATGCTTGACAATTGATAGCTTCTGATTGTGCATGTGTAAAAATCAAAGGGGTATATATTCTCGAAACGCGAGTCTGGGTATTGATTCTACAAAACTCAGTATAATAGCAGCACCGAACCCGCTCGTATCGGGACGAGGGGTTCAGCAGACGTATATATATATACGAGAGGGTTGCACCGCGCTTATTTAAGCAACCCTGTGCAAATAATTCCCCGTCTTTCCCTCTGATGAAGTTATTTCTTCCGTCCTGCAGGAAATGAAGATGAACGAGTTTCCGTTTCTCGTG